AATTAAATTATTAAATAAATCAAAAATTCAGGTCAAATATTAAATCCCTTGCCATGTAAGCATGACATGGCAATATTTTGCCATCCAAGCAGCCAAGCAAGGTGTGTCCTCAACGGTAGTTAAGTGAGGCGTGCAGTCCCAAACGGCAGTTAAGTTGGCGTAAGAAGAAGGGCTTAATTGCTTTGATCCCCGAGTTCGAGGGCTTATATGCATAAATTACAGTCTAGGGACTTAATAGCGATTCTGGGGTTGGTTCAGGGGCTTAACTTATGGTTTTGCCTTAAAACAAGACAACACGGTTTCACAAAAAAAAAGGCAAAACCATAAGTTAAGCCCCTGAACTAACCCCAGAATTGCTATTAAGCCCTTAGACTTTAATTGATGCATATAAGCCCTTAAACTCTGCGATCAAGGCAATTAAACCCTTCTTCTTACGCCAACTTAACCGCCGTTTCAGACTCGCTCGCCTGGCTTAACTGCCGTTTGGGACTTGTTCGACTGGCTGCTTGGATGGCAAAATATTGCCATGTCATGCTTATATAACTATATGACAAGGGGTTTGATTTTTTTTTTGGTTTCCCGTCCGGTATCTGGGGTTTCGTCTCGACTAATCCGAACTCGACCCGCATTGCGCACCTGAAAATGGTGGAGTCTCCCAATGGGCCTGTTGCATATACAAGGTCTCGAACTCTAAATTTTACTTAAACTGGAACAAATCGCTTACCACTTGATCCAACCCCTCGTTGGTCAAAGGATTTGATATTTGAGCGAGATTTTTGACTTATTTGATTATTCAATTTTTTTACTTAAATAAAATCTAAATAAAATAAAATCATGCATTTGGGTGAAAATATTATTTAAATAAAATCTTAAATTTAAATTTAATAAATATGGTAATAGACATTAAAATTTTTTTTATATGATTCATTATAATTTAATTTTAAATTAGTTGATAATAATATAGACATTAGTCCAGTAGCTACTGGGTTTCATGAACCCAGGTCTTGGGTTCCTCATGGAACCCCCTTGCTGGGTTCGCAGAGGAAGAAGGTTGAGAAAGAGGAAAGGGCGGAGGGATAAGAGAGAAGAAGGGAGGAAGAAGAAAAAGAGGAAGAAGAAAAAGAATATAATAATAATAAATTATATGAGTCTTTATTTAAATATGAAAAAAATATCACATGAAAAAAAAAATGCCATCAAGTTTGTTTTAGTCCACATCATCAATTTTTTCCATGTGGCATTCTATTGATTAGCGTGTAATAACACGTCAACAATAAAAAAGAAAAAAGACAAAATATTTAACAGATTATAATGTCACTCTGTCACTTAACTGACGGAAGGACCAAAAAGGGGTCGGATTTTGAAATTTAGGGACTAAAAAGGGGATTTTTTCGGTACAGGGATCAAAAAGGGGCTTTTTCCTATAGTAGGGGGACCAAAAAGGGTATTTAACCAATTTATAATTATATGAGATATGATATTAAATAAATATAATAAGAAAAAAATGTATATCAGTTTAGTTTTTAAAATAAATT